CTTCTCAAGAAGCATCAGTTGTATAAACCTTTAAACAAGAGAGCTTGAACTGTCCCCTATAACATGCATGGCCTTCTGGGACACGCAAGCCCCTTGGCTGTCTCTCTAATTTCATCTTCTCCATGTCTGTTTATTTTGGTTTTTCATAAAGAAACTTGCTTCTATCCCTGCATCATCCTGCTTTCTGTAATCTTGCCGCTTGGCCTCTCTTCAAAGATTTTTTGCTCTCTCTTCATGATGATTCCCAATATTGGTCCATCTCTAACTGCCTGTCATGGGACTCAGACTTCTTTTTGCAGTGACCCCACCTCCACTGTTTCAGACTCTGCTTACTACTGTCATCCCAGCAGTCAGACAGGACCATTCAACAGCATCCTAACAGATACCCTGACCAATATTCTCTTACACCTGCCAGCAATCCTCCACACTGCTAAGCTGATCTCTGCCAGTGCCTCTTTCTTCCTAGCCATGTCAGGAATAAGTGCAGGCGCCTACAAATTACACCACATTTATCTTGCAGCCAATTAGCACACAGTAAGCTAGAAAGAGCTCGGCCTTCCAGGAGAGTTAGGGAATACTTCCCTGGTGCCATTTTGCTCAGCTCTGGCCCTTTTCATCTTTGAAGACTGAGTAGCATTGTCTTCAGTGGCTCCTATTAGAGTAGGCAGTTAGGTTCTAACAGGATACCTGGAAGTCAGCAAGAAGGAAGTCATGGTCCACTATCGGGAAGGTGAGAGGCCTACCCTGCCGCACTCCACAAGAAGCCGGAGCAAACCAGACAGGCCCAAGATGGCAGGTGCCATGACAGGAAACCTCTGACCAAATTAGGGAGAAAAAGTGCAAAGCCCTGCCTCCCGCCCCCATAAACATTCCACCCCCTAGTTAACAACTGTCAGTAAAAGATAGAAACCCAACCCCCAGGGTGCACAGCTCTCTCCCAAGCTCACCTGCTCTCCTATCTCGAGAGTGTACTTTTCGATTTAATAAACTTAACCGTTTGTGACCCTCATCAACTGTGCTGAGTGTCTGTCCTCGAATTCTTTCCCGAGTCATGACCAAGAACCTTCAGGGACCCATTCCAGATGGGCTGGGCTGGGGCCCTAGAGCCCAGGGTCTCCCCAGTTCACCCAGCAACACTTCCACTAGCCTTAGATCTCAAGGCAACAGAAAGCCTATTCATTTTTCAAGGCCAAGTTCAAGGCAACCTTTTCCATGAGTCCTTTATTTTACTAGCTAGAATTTGTCAAACCTTCTTTGGCAGTGTAGCATAAGAATTAACAGCTCGGCCCTAGAATCAGACTTTCTGGGTTTCAATGCTAGCTGTGTGAGCTCAAACAAATTTCCCAACCTGTGTTTTCTTATTGGTAAAATGGGGATAATTACAGAAATTATCTTAAAGGTAAGAAATTAAATGTTTTATTCTACATAAACCACTTTTAACAGCCCTGGCACAGAGTAAGCACTCAATAAATACTAGTTTTTATTGTTAGCTATATTAAAGTTAATAAATTTTTGTTAGCATCTACTATATGCCAGGCACTTTATTAAGTGGTGAGGCTATAGTGGGTGTGTAGATAAGACAGACGTGTTCCCTGACTTTTTGGAGCTTACCATCAGAAAGTCTATTAAATAAACAATCATAAAAGAAAATGTTTTTCATTCTGTTTTATTTTTTTAAAGATTTGTTTATTTATCTGAGAGAGAGCATGCAGAGGGTAGGGGGCAAAGGGAGAGAGAGTCTTAAGCAGATTCCACACTGAGTGCAGAGCCCAATGCGGGGCTCAATCTCAGGACCCTGAGATCATGACCTAAGCCGAAACCAAGAGTTGGACGCTTAACCAACTGCATCACCCAGGCGCCCTGCATTTTGTTTTATTTTAAGAGACATGAGAGCTTATAGAAAACAGATTTGCTAGTCTGTGGGATTAGGAAAGACCCCTCCCCGCTGAAAAAGTAATATTTAAGCTAAGGCTTGAAATAAGAGTAGGAATTAACCACGTCAAGCCTTAGAGTGTGTATATGTGAGAGAATGTGTATGTGTTTGGTTTATGGGGAGTGGGGGAGGCAAATGTCAGAGAACATTCCAGAAAGTAAAGCAGCATAAAAGGGCCCTGTGGTGGGAAGAAGCACAGGCTGTGAAAATAAAAAATGTGTCTAAAGGGCTAGAGTACAGTCAGGAAGAGATTAACTTGGAATAAGTCTAGTTTAGACTTTATCTTAAAGGCAGTGGGAAGACTGAAAGATTTTAAGCAGGGAAGTGATGTGGTTAGGTTACTCACCCCCTTTATATTGAGCACTCTTCCCAGCATGCCTAGATTTAATGAAAATTATACACATTTTTTATATATATTCCCATTAGATGGTAACTTTAGTTTCCTTGTCTGAGTCCATTCAGGCCGGTATAACAAAATACCAGAGACAGGGTAGCTTAGAAAGAAAAAAAAAACACACAAATTTATTTCTCACAATTCTGGAGATGAGAACATCAGAAGTTCTGGAAGTCCGAGATCAGAGTGCTAGTCTGGTTGAGTTAGGGCCCTCTTTTGGGCTACAGACTTCTTGCATCCTCATATGGTGGAAGGGGCTAGAGAGTTCTGTGGGGTCACTTTTATGACAGCGCTAATCTCATTCATGAAGACTCTTCCCAAAGGCCCCCCTCCTACCATTGAAATGGGCATTAGGATTTTAACAAATGGATTTTGTGAAGGGACATAAACATTCAGACCATAGCATTTCCTGTGCAGAACAGCTCCCCACTGTATGCTACGGACCCAGTCTGTGCTGACTGAAGAGATGGGTGGCTCCTTCTCAGACAAGAGTTACGACCTATTGCAGAGAACCTCTGGGAAGAGTTTCACCACTGAGATTAACAAACCTCCCACTGATACCTGACAATTGTCAAGTTGGCTAAGAATTCTTTTTTCTTTTTTTATTTTATTATTATGTTATGTTAATCACCATACATTACATCATTAGTTTTTGATGTAGTGTTCCATGATTCATTGTTTGTGCATAACACCCAGTGCTCCATGCAGAACGTGCCCTCTTTAATACCCATCACTAGGCTAACCCATCCCCCCACCCCCCTCCCCTCTAGAACCCTCAGTTTGTTTTTCAGAGTCCATAGGCTCTCATGCTTCATCTCCCCCTCCTATTTCCCCCCCCTCATTCTTCCCCTCGGGCTATCTTCTTCTTATTTTTTTTTAACATATAATGTATTATTTGTTTCAGAGGTACAGGTTTGTGATTCAACAGTCTTACACAATTCACAGCGCTCACCATAGCACATACCTTCCCCAATGTCTGTCACCCAGCCACCCCATCCCTCCCATCCCCCACCACTCCAGCAACCCTCAGTTTGTTTCCTGAGATTACGAATTCCTCATATCAGTGAGGTCACGTGATACATGTCTTTCTCTCATTGACTTATTTCACTCAGCATAATACCCTCCAGTTCCATCCACGTCGTTGCAAATGGCAAGATTTCATTCCTTTTGATGGCTGCATAATATTCCATTGTATATATAAACCACGTCTTCTATATCCATTCATCTGTTGATGGACATCTTGGCTTTTTCCACAGTTTGGCTATTGTGGACATTGCTGCTATAAACATCGGGGTGCATGTACCCCTTCGGATCCCTCCATTTGTATCTTTGGGGTAAATACCCAATAGGGCAATTGCTGAGTCATAGTGTAGCTCTATTTTCAACTTTTTGAGGAAGCTCCATACTGTTTTCCAGAGTGGCCGCACCAGCTTACATTCCCACCAACAGCGTAGGAGGGTTCCCCTTTCTCTGCATCCCCGCCAACATCTGTCGTTTCCTGACTTGTTAATTTTAGCCATTCTGACTGGTGTGAGGTGGTATTTCATTGAGGTTTTGATTTGGATTTCCTTGATGCCAAGGGATGTTGAGCACTTTTTCATGTGTCTGTTGGCCATTTGGATGTCTTCTTTGGAAAAATGTCTGTTCATGTCCTCTGCCCATTTCTTGATTGGATTATTTGTTCTTTGGGTGTTGAGTTTAAGAAGTTCTTTATAGATTTTGGATACTAGCCCTTTATCTGATATGTCATTTGCAAATATCTTCTCCCATTCTGTCGGTTGTCTTTTGGTTTTGTGGCTAAGAATTCTTTAATTGAAAGTTTAGTATTTTTAATTTTTAACTAGGTTGTTTAGTTCAGGGTGTTTTTTTTTCCCCATGCAAACATGAAAGTGGTAAAAAAAAAAAAAAAAAAAAAAAACAGTCAAAAAGTCTGAACATCGCAGAAGATTATTCAAGGAAATATAAGCCTGCTCCCTCTCCAGATTTCTATTTCACAGTTCCCCTTCTCAAGGGCAAACACTTAGCTTTGTCGATTTTTCTGGTAATTTTCTGTGTACATAAAAACCTTTCTTCGCTTGCTTGCTTTCCTAGTCTTTTTTTTTTTTTTAGTTTTTTATTATTTATTTCTTTATGTATGTATGTATTAATGGACAGGAGAGTGTAAAGTTTCAGAGTGCAGAGCTCATCTTAAATTTTCTGCTTAAATTAATTAACATGCGTAAAATATTCAAAGCAGTGATGGCCCAGAAGCCTTCAGTCAGTGTTGGCTTTATCATTTCTTTCTTTCTTTCTTTTTTTACACAAATGGAAGTATATTGTGCATCTGTTATGCAAATTGCTCTTTAATTATTAACATATTAACATTTGAAAGTTTGCTATGTTCTAAGCCCTTCATATGCATTATCTCATTGCATTATCTCCTAACAGCGTTTGGGGTATGTATGGTGAGCATCTCTTTTTCATAGACTAGGAATCAGACAGAGAGAGATTACTGTGGCCTGTCCTCAGTCATGGAGTCTGTATCAGAGCCCAGCGATGTCACTTCAGTGTTTCACTCTTAACTCCTTTGCTCAAATACCTTTCAAATAATTGCTTGTTTTTTCTTTCATCTGTGTTTATTTGGGGTGGTTTTTTGTATGTTGTTTTTCACAGCATTTCATCATTCTCTTTTAGACCAAAGCCGATAAAAATTTCAGAACTGAATATTATGAAGAACAGATGGAGGCATTCAAAAGAATTGTCCAAGAGAAGACATCAAATTTTAATGCAGATATAACTTTAAAATTCACACCTACCGAAGCAATTGAAAAGTCTGGCAAAAAAACCTTCAATCTTACAAATGCTGAGGGTAGATTTCGATTTACATATTCCAAAAATGAAACTTACCAACTGTTCTTGTCACATTCTTCTAAAAAGGTAAGACCAAACACTTAATATAGAGGATATAATGGGATATTTTTCAAACTAACCAAACCCCCTCTTTTAAGTTTAAGTGTTTGGAGCAGATAGAGTTCACTGGAGAGAAAGAGAAAAAATAATACTCAACAAATCCCCAAATATGTAGCTAGGAGGTGAGGAAGAAGAATGCTAACTGAAGAAAGGGCCTTGGGATCTGCAGTATATGAGGGGGTGAGATATTTGGTGGTGATAAACAGAGAACAAGCGTATTAAGAATTCGGAACATACTTTTGGACTGAGATTGTGGTAATAGACTATTGAATTTATACCATCTTCAGAATGACAATGAAGAATCAGACTGAGGAATTTAGTAATTCATTGCAATATCTTACACTGATGACAACTTACTGGAAAGCGTCTCTAAAGTAGATGCCATGAAATTGTACACATTGCATATGACATTGGTCTGCTTATTTTGTAATTATACCTTTAATTTAAGGCTTTGAAAATGTGTTTTTTAATATTTAATCCAGATTTAGAATTTTGTTTCATCACCTTTGAAATATAGGAAACACTTTCTGTAATCAGTATGATGCTGGTAAAATGTTCATTCTTCCTTTTCTGATAACACAGTCACCTGTTTAGATACCCTCTCCTTTAAAAATAATAATAATTCACACTTAGTATTTATGTTATGCCTAATCATACAATTGTTTTGGAGGGCTCTGTACCTTGTCTCTACATAAATATGCATACCCATCCATACTATGCAGTTGGAAAATCCTTTAAATCATACAACAAATATTTAATGTGGATTTCTTATGTGACCAGGCACTGTTCCAGGGGCTTAGAATACATTTGTGAACCAAACTAAAAAAGATTCCTGTCCTCATGGAGCTGGAAGTTCAGCAGGGAGAGATAGACAAAATAAACATAATAGCAAAAGAATGAGATATATAGTATTTAGAAAGTGATAAGTGCTATGGAATAAAACAAAAAGTAGAATAACACAAGGGAAATCAGGAGTGCTGGGCAAGTGGCAATATTAAAAAGAAAGTCCAGGGTAGACTTCATTAAGGAAATGAAATCTGAATGAAGATTTGAAGGAGAAGAAATAGCCAAATAGTCATAGTTGGGATGATGTACCTGGCAGAAGGAACTGTTAGAGACAAGTCTCTAAGGTGGGAACATATCTGCCCATTGGGCCAATGGAACCAGGAGAACGGGTTAGAAAGTTCATCCTGAACCAGATCATGAAGGGCCTCACAGCCTGTTCTGAGTTTAGCTTTTTCTCTGAGTGACATGAGAAGTCAGTAGAACTTTTTGAATAGAAGATTGACATATGCTAGTATATTTTAAATGAGAAGAAACTATGAGAGTGAAGAGCAAAAGTAAGAAGGTTTGTTGAAAACTATTGCAGGAATCCAGTTGTGTGCAGATGGATGGAACAGGTATAGAGTCAAGCATGAGTCTAAGGTATAAACAACTGGAAGGATGGAGCTGCTACTAACTGAGATAGAGAAAACTTTCGGTAGAGCAGGTTGAGAGAATAAAAACAATAATTCAATTGTAGTCAGATTAAGTTTGAGATGTCTGTTAGACATTCATTTGGAGATGTTAAGTAGGAAGTTGATGTTGTAAGTCTGGAGTTTGACAAAAAGATCTGGGATTGAGCTGTAAGTTTGGGAGTTGTTTGTATGTAGATGGTGCTTACAGTCATAAGGTTTCGTGTGACCCCCAAGAGTTAATGTAAATAGAAGAGAGAAGATCCAAGACTAAACTCAAGGAACTTCGATAGAAAGAGGTCTGGCGAAAGAGGAAGAACCAGCAGAGGACAGCAAGGTGTGGCAAATATAATGCCCTAGAACCTCACTACTCAAAGTGTGGTCCATGGATCAGCAACATTAGCATCACCAGGAAGCTAAGACCTCAGCCTCTAACCCAGACCTACTGAATTAGAATTGCATTTTAACAAGATTCTATGGGTGATTTGTCCACACTTTACAGTTTGAAGAGAACTGCCCTAGAAGAAAAGAACCCGTATCAAGGAGAAAGGAGTAATGAACTGGGTCAAATGTGCGAAGATGTCAAAGAAGAAGGACTAAGAAGTAACTGCTGCTGGCTTTAGCATTGTGAAGGTCATTGGTGACCTTGACAAGAGAAGTTTTGCTGAAGTAGTGAGGAAAGCTGCATGATTGAATTAGATTTAAGAGAAAATAGAAAGAGAGGAATTGAAAACAGCCAGTACAGAAATTTTTTTAAAGGAATTTTGCTTCTAATGAAGGCAAGGAAATTGGTAGCAAGTGATTAGACAAGTGAGGCCGAGAGATTTTGTTTTTATTATCTAAGATGGAAGGAACAACTTTATATTTGGATGGAAATGATCTAAGATCTACCTCTGAAATAAGTTGAGCCAAAGAATGTTAACGTCTCTCTGACAAGTTATACCTCCTAATTTTAGCAACAATGAAGAGGAGTCCAAATATGTTTTGTGCATGCTTGAGACTCCACTGAGAATTATTATGCAAGTCATCAGAAGGCGAATTCGTTGTTGAAGACTGAATCACTGACTATCACCCACAGCCATACAATGTGAACAGTTGTGCTTCTAAAACACAGAAAGTTTGGTGTGATGTTCATATACACCAAGATATACTTTTAAAAAATAATAAAATGTTTTCAACTTCTAGGCAATCAACGTGTGTTAACCACTACTATAGCAGGAGAAACTTAAATGAACCATCTACAAATCATAGGTGTACATTGTAGTTTAGTTTTGACTGGGACAGTCTGTGGCATTGAAACACATAGTTCTTTGTCACTGCCTCAGTTTTCTCCTGGAAATTTAAGCCATCATACCTAGGAATGCTTAACTATTCACTCATTTAGCTTGCATTTCTTAAAATGTTGTTTATCCTATCTTTGTTATAAAAAATTGAAAGAACATAGAGGAAGGGGCAGGGAGACCTGAGACCTAGGTTTGTAGTACCAATCACTGCCAAAGACTATTTTTGTTATTTGGAGCAAATAACTTGATACCTTTGGATCAGAGTTTCCTCATCTGCAAAATGAGAAGATTGGGCTGCATATAGAATGTCTACATTTCCTTCCATTGTCAACATTTAACAATCAACTTAGTGGGGTATAACTTACAAATGATAATGCAAATAACAAATATTTTAAGCCTGTAGTTCCATGAGTTTTGACTTTTGTATCCACCTGTGTGACCACCTTGTCAAACAAGACATAGAACATTTCCATCACCTCAAGAAAATTCCCTCATGGCCTTTTCAGTCAATCCCCTACTGCCTGAGAGGCAACCACTTTTCAGATTTCTCTGACCATAGCTTAATTTCACCTGGTCTAGAACTTCATGTAAGTGAAATCATACAGTACATACTCTTTTGTGTCTGACTATTTTCACTCAGCGTAATATTTTTGAGATGTATTTATGTTGTTGCGTGTATCGGTAGTTTGTTCCTTTTTATTGCTAATTAGTAGTACTTTTTGTGAACATACCACAATTTGTTGATCAGTTCTTCTATTTCTGGACATTTGAGTGGTTTCTAGTTTTAAGCTCTTCTGAGTAACGTTGCTCTAAAAGTCTCGTACAGATCTCTTTGTGGACTATTTTGTCACTGATCGTAGGTAACTATGTAGAGGTGGAATTGCTGACCACAGGGTAGATGTGTGTTTACTTTTACAAGAAATTGTCAAGCAGTTCTCCACAGTGATTAGGCCATTGTACATTCCCATCAGCAGTGCTTGAGAGCTCCAATTGCTGCCCATCTTCATCAACGGTTGGGACTAACCATATTTTGAGTTTGCCATCCTACTGGGTTAAAGTGGTCATCTAGGGTCACTGCTAAAACATTTGTTGCCTGGGGAAGTTCTAAATTTTGTGATTTTTTTATTTTTGTGATTTTTAAATTTTGTGATTTTTAAATTTGAAATAGTAGTGATGAAACTCATATTTTTTTTCTTCTGTTCTACAATCAAGGAAAAAGTGTTTCTGCATGTGAAAGGAATAATTCATCTGGGGAGATTTATGATGAGAAGTCGGGATGTCATGCTGACAACAGCTTTCCTGGATGATATAAAAGCTCTGCCGACTACCTATGCAAAGGGGGAATATTTTGCATTTTTGGAAACCTATGGAACCCACTACAGTAGCTCTGGGTCTCTAGGAGGATTCTATGAACTAATATATGTTTTGGATAAAGCATCCATGAAAGAGAAAGGTATACCTAGAAATAGAGTTCTAACTTCTAATGTTGTTTTAACCAATCATTATTCCTATTGCTAATCTCTTTCAATGGTTAAATGTTTTAAAATAAAGTCCTGCTTCTTTGAGAGAACTCTCTCCCTGCCCTTTGGCATCTAAAACCCTATCAGACAGCAAATTGACTTCTACCTCAAACTAGATGACTTGGTCATGCATTATTGAGAAATGCACAAAATTGTACTGTAATTTAATATCAGTTGGTGATGCTGCTTCTAGTGACATACTACTTAAAAGGTGAAAAAAGTACAAGAGACATAATTTACATAATCTATTTCTTAATCAATAAACTGGTTCAATTATATGTATGACAATTATCTTCCAAAGGATTCTTCAGTATTGGAAGGAAAATATTTTTCTCTATTTTCTTTTAGGGAGGAGGAAGAAAGTAATGTTAAGATTGTATAAGTCTGGTGTCTTAAAGCAAGGGTAGAAAAGTCAGCTTTACCTCATCTTATGACAAGTCTAATCATAGGGTGGTAGTTGAATTGGGTCCATGTTGAGTAGATTTCTGACCACACTTGGAACATGGAAAGAAGGCCATGGTTGATCATCAATGTCTGCCACATGTACAGGAAAAACCTATGTACTACATGGTTACCATACTGGCCTAACAGCTTTATCTAAGCCTTTTAAGAATAAAGTAGATGCAAAGTGACTGTGTTAATCAGTTTTAATTATTTATTTTGTGAGTCATTATTTCTAGTTATAATGTTCCTTAAAGAGGAGATAGGCGCCAACATATCTCCTTTCTCTGCCCTCAGCGTTCTTCAGTGTGTCTCTTAGGGCGGGAAGTGTTGGCAAAAACCTTTTCTATGGCTCCTTCCCTATAGCTTCTATCTGTGTCAAGTGAAGAATGTGATATGGCTATGAGCTTGAAGTCTGACATTGACCCCATAGTTGGTAAGCACTTTAGAGACAAAACAAATATGACCGGGCCAGAACAAATTGCTCTTGATGCCTCAGTCTTAAGCAAGGAGAAACACTGCCAGGGGGAGTGAAATATGAGGTTATTTGGTTTATACTGCCCTACAGGGCTATATATAGAATGATGAAGTCTCATGAGTCTGCCTGGTAGGCTATTTTGATAGATATCACATGGGCGAGGGGCACATGAGGGCTATGTCTTGAGTGACCTGAAAATCAGCAGAGAAAGGCTCAACAAGGATGATCAAAACACGAGGAACACTTCAGGCTAAGAGTTGCTTTGGTAAAAAAGTTCCATGGGCTAAAATTTTTAATCTTAGCTAACTCAGACCTACCCACTTAAATTTACTTAGCATCTGACCTTAGTAGACAAGGATCATTAGGTCAGTTCTGGTATCTTTGAGAGGGAAGTCATCCTTCTCACTTCTTCACTAGCAATACCTGAAGACCAAGCCATGTCCTCCACCTAGATTTGGGATGTCCAGACCCTGTCTGAACATGAAAAGGTCCACAGTGAAGGTAGAGAAGCTAAGTTCATTGGGATCACTTAGGTATTTTCATCCCCAGCTTCAGAATCAAAGTCTTTATGCTTCTTAGGTTACAGCTGGAAATCTAGTATTCTGGATTTCTAGCATGGTCTTCCATTTTTATCCTCCCTCTCCCTTTCTCATGGGAAAAGACACCTGATATTTCTCAAGTTCTCACTAGTTGTGGGTACACAAAAAATATTTGTTGAATCAATGAATGCCTGAATGGCCCAGATCCCTACTTCTAAATTCCACCATGAAACCCTGGGTTTAACTTAACTTCTCCCTTTCCTTTTTCATAAAGCATTTTGGCATGTGTGTGTGTATGATCTGAAATGATAAATAAGAGCAAAAACCTACATGGTCAATGAACTGAGGCAGTTTGCCCTTAAAATAAAATTATTATTCTCTCTTCTAAATAGATAATAAATTATATGCTTGAATTAAATATTAGGATTTTTCTTCCTAATAACTGTGGCATCCACACACCACAGTTAGTCAGCTTCCAAGACTGCTATCTACTAAGTAACATTCACAGGACCCAAACAAAATTGTCATCTATATAAGCCATCTGCTCAAAGCAATAACTAGCTACCTTAATAATGAAGAGTCTTCCAAAGAGGATCAAGAGATGTTGATGCATCCCACGACCAAATTATGAAGTCAATATAGAGAAGTGCTTAACAACCAGACGACTCTGGTTCAAATACTAACTTGGCTAACTGCTGAATTCCATTGGCAGATTACTTACCTGCTCTGCCATTCCATATCCTTATCTGTAAAATGAGGACAATAATAGAACCTACCTCAAGAGACCAATGTGAGGATTAAATTAATTAATGCATACAAAATGCTTAGAAAGATATTGTGTATATGATAAGTATTCAGTTTATGTTAGATGTCAGTGTCACCCTGCCATGTTATTAGAGGTAAAGGACTTTACTATAACTGCCCTATTCTGACTTCTGTCCCTTTCAAACAAGGAGCAAATTTATATGTCCTTTGGTATTAAGTTGACAAGCAAATTCAAAAGGAGGCCGCTAGATTCTAATATGAGGACAAATCAGGGCAGATATGACCTTGCATTTGAGCTCAGTAATAATGTCTAGGAATCCCAGTAAGTATGTTTCTTACAAAATAGCAAAATTGGAATTTATTAGTGATGTTGATAAACATTGTTTAACAATTTTCAACTAAATACGTTAAACAGGTGTTGAACTAAGGGATGTACAGAGATGCCTCGGGTTTAATCTGGATGTTTCTCTGAAAGCTGGAGTTGAAGTCAAGGGAGAAATTAATAAAAATGATTGTTTAAAGAGGGGTGAAGGTGGAACTGGTAAGTATGACCTAACTCACTCCTTAAAAAAAAGGAGGGGCGTTGTCAATGAGCAGTGCTCTGTCACTGTAAACTCTCCTTATTGTCTATCCTCTTTATTTAAAAAAAATTAGAGTGCTTCAAAATTATTTTATCTTTATAGTGGTTTCCAAACCATTATAAACACAAGTAACCCATGGACATGTATTCATTGGAATCACCATTGTACAGGTCACACAGCGTGCAGCTCTGGGAAAGGCTTTTATGCCATGGTCATTGTAGATTTCATATTTATCATGGCAATGGTAGAAGGCCAATGGTAGAGAAATGTCTTCAAGAAAGATCTCCTTTTTTCTCCCCAATTTTAACACAGCTTCCGAATAGGCTAGTGGCAGGACCCTGTGTGACCTTTAAGAAAGGAGAGACCAAAACCATTCCTTCCACCTGACTCAAAACCCCCAATCCACCTTCATCTAATGAGTCAAAAGGTACAAACTTCCAGTTATAAGATAAATAAATACTGGGGATATAATATACAACAAGATGACTAGTTAACAGTACCATGTGATATGTTTGAAAGTAATTAAGAGAGTAGATACTAAAATTTTTCATCCCAGGAAAAAATAAAGTTTTTGTAAACTCTATGAGGTGATGCATGTTAACTAAACTTATTGTGGTAATCATTTTGCAATATATGTGTATGTCAAGTCATTAAGCTGTACACCTTAAACTTTTACAGTGTGTCAATATATCTCAATAAAACTGGGGGGGAAAGAAATCCCAATTCATCCTTAACATTCAATCAGTGCATAACCTTTTTAAGAATATAAATATCTTTGGTAAAAATGTTGCTTGTGTTGGTAATATTTAGCAGATTTACAAGCATGAGGTAGTTCTGGAGTTCTCAATTTTTACTCTAATCTAATCTGAGAGTATTTTCAGACATACAAATGGTTGAGGCTCACCTCTAAAGAATCAAATGATAGTGGGGAGGCAGAGAGAAGAAAGCCTGATATTTTTAAAAGCATACCAACCGCTAACGTATGGCCATGATTGGAAACCATTGATAAAGTGCAAAGAAAACTGAACTTGCCATAAAATGTCCTAATTTCAATATTTACCCCTTAAGCTAGTCTTGGGCTAGTCACTCCACCTGTCTGAGTCTCAGTTTTCTCATTTATAAAAATGAAAAAGGATAAGCAAAAACTCCTTGAAATTCCTTTCCAGTTTGAAAAATTTACAACTCTCTAAGATTCACAAATTTTGTTAAAAGTGGTTTAGTCTGGAGAGATTGAAGGAGAGCGATAAGTAGGAATGTGGGATGGAAAGAAATTTTGCTTTTCACCTGATTCTTTTTTATATGTTTTGATTTTTCATAATATTAAAATAGTTTAAAACAAACCTATATAAAATGTAATTATGAAGGTAAGTCTGAAACAAAAAATGTAGAGTGTAGCCCAAAGTCATGTGTGCATGTACATAAGTGATGAACTTGGAATCATCAATGTATCTCAATTGTCATGCTGTTTTTATTTTTTTAAGACAATTAAAGTCTTCCATTGGCTACTAATAAAAATTGGTCTTGGAGATTTGGGGTAAAAAAAATTACATAAATAAAATTCAATAAATGTACTAGATGATACTTTATGAAAGGGTTCAATAAGTATTAATCAAATGTCACAGAACTATAAAGGCTTCACTTATATCCTCTTCTCTTCTCAGTAAACATCAGTCGTGATGGCATCATAGATGACGTTATTTCACTCATAAGAGGAGGGACCCAAAAATACGCATATGAACTGAAAGAGAAGCTTCTCAAAGGAGCCAAGACGGTTGATATAAGTGACTTTGTAAATTGGGCCACTTCCTTAAATGATGCTCCAGTGCTCATAAACCAAAAAGTAAGGAATGTTTATTTTCAAATAGGAGATTTTTACATTTTCTTATTCAATGTAACTGTGGGTTCAGATGAACGGTTAACTTCATCTGAAAGAGACGTAAGCATTCCAACGCACTGCTCTCTCATCCCCGGAAAGAAGCAGGACAGAGAGGAGAGGCATGACCGGTGGCCTCACGCCAACCCAGGCTGAGTTCTGATCTCTGTCCTCTAAACGTGTAAAGTTCTCTGACCTCTGCAACCCTACATGCTCCAGGGCTTCATGTTTATTTTGAGGATTCAGTAGCATTGCTTGCATAGAGCCTCTCGCACAGACTGGCACAAAATTGGTGCCCAAGACTTGTCAGTTCTCTTCCATCTGCCCCTGGTTGTCCCTTGCTTTCAGGGGGCATCATAGCACCACTTCCAACACAGGAGAATCATGAAGGGCCTTCATGAAAGGGAAGTTCATAAGGTCTCAGAAAATAAGACCAAGGGTGAGCAGTTCTTAGGGTCCAGAAATTTTTTCTTTTTTGTATCTTGATTATAGTCTTCAGTTTATAAACCCATTAGTCCTTATTTCCAGGGGAAACAAACTGTAATTGTAAAGATACAAATGCTAGTCTCATTTAGCCCCATCACTCTCTCCTCAAACTTAATAGAAAGGGTATGTGTTTTCCTTTATTTATTTGTTTTCCTACTTCCTTTTATAGGTTTCAATTTTCCCTGTCAGTTTCACAATTCTCCCTGGGGTCAGATTTTTCTTTGATGACTTCAGTTTGATTAACAGTTGGATTAACTATCCAAGTTTGGATAGTCCTATCAAAAGTCCTATCATAGTTTGATAGGACTATCCAATAAAGGTTATTGGAAATTTTTATTCCTTCATCCCCTTTTGTTATCTTTAAAGAGTGAAGCTACCAAAACCATCACATTTATGTGAGGGCAGAACTAAGAAACCGGAAAATTGTAATCTACTTTCCCTCTAAGTCATAGAAATCTAGCCATTTATAGATGTGCTAATATATCTATGGAACTTCACATATTTTGTCCCAAAAGTAGGACAAGCAGGGAAATAAAGTTGGCCAAATTAGCGTGTCTATATACGAAATTCGAGTCTTTTTTTTTCAAGATTTTATTTATTTATTTGAGAGAGAGAGGGAAAAAGAGAGAGAGAAAGCATGAGCAGAGGGAGTGGCAGAGGGAGAAGTAGGCTCCCCACTGAGCAGGGAGCCTGATGTGGGGCTCCATCCCAGGGATCTTGACCTGAGCCAAAGGCAGACGCTTAACCGACTGAGCCACCCGGGTACCCACCCAAAAAAAAAGGTACCCTTTTATTTTATTATGTTTAAATCACATTTAAACTCATTATTTTGAACTCAGTAAAAATAAATCTATGTCAGAAAATCTTAAATGAAAAAAGAATTCATTTAGAAAGATGTTTATGTCCACATGGACACTTAAACTGGCTTGTCTTCTCATCCCGACAAAGGAAGTTCAGCTGTCCTGGTAGGGATCCAAGATTGTTCAAAGACTTTCATCAACTCTGTTTGGACAGTCCCACTGGCTGGATGCAAAATATAGTTTATCCTATCTTCAAGGGCAACTATTGATCTCCAGATTTTTAGATTAGTAGGCAGTCCATCTAAACTACCTGTATAAGTTTCTTTCTTTACATATTGGAAGCCTGGGCTTTTCATATGAATGTTCTACCTAAGAAAATGACAACTACAGTAAGTCACCCAGGAACCACTTTTAAAAATGTATCTTCTTTAGAAGTGCAGAAAATAGTAGAATACTATGTGTTTTATTGACTTTGTGTGACTTTTAAATCCCTGAAGAATATGATATATAGTCTGGTTTGACCTTAAAACAGATTGCAAATTATTTTGATTTTATAAATCCAGTAGAAGTGTTTTTCTGGTTTAGAAGCTATTCCATGAGGTAATTAAACAATCTATAATCACTAATTAATTATTTGGTAAGTTGAAGCATTCTCTTATCTATGGATGATATGTTCAAACACCAGGGATGGTCTTAATATTAAAATAGTTGACCTTTCTATTTAATTATTTAAAGAATTGGTGAAACCTCTCCCCACCTACACTAAACTATTAACTGGTTTATGTTTAATCCTCTGAGCAAATTAAATCAATTACTTAGGTATTTATATTACAAACAGCTTATCTGGGAGAAAACACTAGGAAGTTATATGACTCTAAAGAATTTTGCAGAGATTTTCTAAGTAAAACAGTTATATACAACATAATGCAACATAACTTAACATAGCATAACATATTTTTCCATGCTAAAGTAACTATGAAAAAATAAAATAAAATAAAATAAAAACTATGAAAAAATAAATAAAAATAACCTTGTGGCTCTGATTCTCGCTTTGCCTGCATGCTTTAGCAGACCCCAAACCTCTTCTTGAGGAATGTATTAACCCAGCCCAAGAATTTTTCCTCCACCCTTCTTCATGCAGAGATAGGGCCTCTCCTTCAGTGTTAACTTTTGTCAGAGCTTCAGTTTTCATGGAAGAATATTAATTCTATTTCCAGCTTGCCTGAATGTTAACACAACATTTCTACATTTTAGCTCAACAGACTAGCTGAACTTGGTTTCTTCTTAAGCTTACTGCTACAAACTAGTTATAAAAACGTCAGCCGAGGAAATTACATTTATTAATGATGGCCTGAGATCTCTAAAGTGTATTATTTCCTCTAGAGCAAAGCAGCCAAGATCAGTACAGCTAGCGTATAGCAAATTGGCTTCCTGTGAAGTTCCGTCTTGGCATTATAAAAACCAAAGTTCTATAACTCACTGCTTTATTTACTAAAAGGATGTTACCTAATACTAATGTCTCCTTTATGAAAACTCATGGGAGATACTACTCTTTAATCTCAGTTTTAAGGATCATTTTGTTTCTCTTGGGAATCATGTAAATATTTCTTATAGGCATGTGACCATTACAATCAGTTGTCTTTACTCAATGCACTAGAAAATATACCCAAATTTGTGACCCAGCTCGTGCCAATGGGCGGGTCCTTCTGGCATGAATGTTGTGTTGCTTTTTACCTTCATCTTGCGTTTTCCATCCTCCGTTCTCCCTTTCTCATTTCCCTCAACCAACTTTATGTACCCATGTGTCAAGCTATATTAAGCTCTCTGTGGATCAACTTGAGTCATAATGAACCATTTACCTACCGTTTTTGTTATATTGTACAACTCTTAGCAGTGATGCACCGGATGTTAAAGAGCATAAGTATTTTAGAGAGCTGGAGTACCAGTGCTCTGTGCTGTAGCCATTACAGTTATAAAGACATGGCAAAAATTATTCTGAACTCTCTTGTATAGGGATGAAAATAACACTCCTTCTATCAACAAACTAGATTTGGCACATAGTTTAATTAGTTTGGAAGCCTGTGAGAAACCTCAATGTACTTCATATTAAATTATATTTCCATTTATTTGTATGTTGGCAAGATTTGTGACAGATTACATCCAATGAAAATATATCTACAAATGGTAGAAAGAATTAGCTAGGATAGGAGAAAAATTAGAACTGTTTTCTTAATTAGCAAAGAGCTAAAGTTCATCAGAAAAAGATGTGGCTCTTCAGGAACACTTCCCGAAGTACATTTTAATTGTTCTTTGTCTTCTTGTGGGACTTTTGCCTCCAGGGTTTGAGGCTCCTCTCAGACCTCGGTCACTGAATGACCTTCGTCTTTATCTCTTGGAACACTGTTTATGCATTTCATCCACACTGTAGTTTCTCCATGACCCTCTCTCTATTCCTGTATCTTAGATTATCTGGCCTTGACTTCCCTTTGAAGGGTAAAACAAGATGAATTTCTTTTCCTAAAAATCAAAATAACTCCATCACATGCTTATGTTGTTCATGCCAATGTGGCAACGTGGGTAAGAGGCTACTTTCTTCCAAATAAATAGTACATCGTTGAAATCTAAATCTTATATACTAACTCATAAAACAGTGTGTGCTGGTGAACATTTGTGTGGACTGTGGAAGTTCTTGGTATATTTTGGATATGAACATATTCTCACTTTGGCACTGAGATCCCCTCACGCTGCTAGAAAATTCATCCTTTATTCATGTGTCGGATGGGGTTCAGGGAGATCTTTCCTTGTTGCCCAACTTAATACAAGAACCCTGATGCGTCTTTTGGGAAATTGGGAATATGATATGTGTAAACACTTAGTCCACGGTGGCGGTGGTAACCTCATTGTTCATTGTTATGTGAGTTTGAACAATGTTCACTGGATCTGTGGTCCACGATATGGACCTTGATATGGACCTAGCTTCCCTAGGGGCATGCCACAGATCCTGCTACTTCCTAAAATAGCTGCCAGAGATCTAGTTATGGTTTCTTGCTACTTAAGGGACGTACTAAGTCTGGAGGAAACTCCTCCCTCAGTGGCATTCATCTTACACTCGTTCTCCCTGCAAAACTTTCTCAATGAGTTCAGGCTTTTTTAGGGGGTGTGGGGGGGAAGGTCAGTAAAGAATTTGCCTTTTGGGGCTTTCTGATCTTGGTCTTGCACACAAACCCTCACTTCAGCAAGAGATATCGAGCACCTGGCTACCTGCTGGAAGAGAAGAGGAGCTGAACAGGCAGCAAAAACAATTCAAAAAACAATGTTAATACATGATCCTGAGAAAAGTTTAAATCCATAGTTGTGCATTTTTAAAACATGTGTACCCATCCCATATAGCACCTACCATAGTTTCCGTTTTAAGTTTATCTGTATGATTATTTTAATTTCAGTCTTCTTACTTCCATGATGTGATCTCCATGATCACAGACATCATGCCTAGTTTTGGTCACTACTATACTCTTTTTTTTTTTTTTTTTTTAGATTTTTTTATTTATTTGAGAGAGAGAGTGGTGGGGAGGGGCAGAGGGAGAGGGAGAATCTCAGACTCTCCACTGAGTATGGAGCCCTACTCCAGGTTCCATCTCATGACACATGAGATCATGACCTGAGCCAAAACCAAGAGTCAGAGGCTCAACCAACTGAGCCACCCAAGCACCCCAATCTGATTATTTTAATATCAGTCTTCTTATCTCTGTAATGTGATCTCCATGATCACAGAGATCATGCCTTGTTTTGATCACTACTATAGTCTTAAAAGCTAACATCGTATCTGCCAATACCGTCATTAAATAAACCTCTGTTGAATTAATGAATTGATAAACAACTAATTCAATGAATGGTATTGCACAAGCTCCATCAGTAGAAAAAGTCCTGAAATTAAATGGTTTGCTTTCTTGTAGCTATCGCCTATATATAATCTGGTTCCAGTTAAAATAAAAGATGCACATCTAAAGAAACAAAATTTGGAAAGTGCCATTGAAGATTACCTCTATGAATACAGTGTGAGAAAATGTGACCCATGCCAAAATGGAGGTACAGTGATTCTGCTGGAAGGAGAATGTCTGTGTTCCTGCCCCCTCGCATTTACGGGGATTGCCTGTGAAACCAGTAAACAAAAAACGTAAGGTGAGAACAACTTATGATATATTATTAGGGACAAAACTGTGCGTTTTGAGGTTATTTAATTTGAAAATTATCTCCTGAATTAATTTGGATGGAACTTCTAGATTATCCATGTAAACAGAAGATAAAAACTGAGTGAATAATGAAAACGGACAAATCAGATTTTATATATCACTAAGCATGCAATTTTATATCTTATACCTCTGCATTTAAACAGAACTATGAAAAAAATTTTTTGATTGTAATGACTGACCCCTGAACAACATGGGTTTGAACTGCATGGGTCCACTTAGATGTGAATTTTTTATAATAGTATTGTAAATGTAGTTTCTCTTCCTTATGATTTTCTTAAGAACATTTTCTTTTCTCTAGCTTACTTTATTGTAAGAATACACTATATAGCACTTTTAGCACACAAAATATGTGTTAATCAACTATATTAGCAGTAAGGCTTCTAGGCAAGAGGAGGCTATTAGTAGTTAAGTTTTGGCGGAGTCGAAAGTTGTACACAGATTTTCAACTCTGCAGGGGTCAGTGCCCCTCACCCCCACGTTGTTCAAGGTCAACTGTGATTTTTTTAAGCAAGTAAGCAAAATTCCTAATCTCTCTAAAATTTTTTTATATTTTCCACAGAATGTTTTCTTCACATGTTCTTTTATAAATACCCTTGAATAAGATGCACTTCAGAGTTGAATCCCTAAGACCTATGTCTTTTAGGTTCACTTTTTCAGATTGCAGGAAACAGATAGGGATAATACAACAGTCTACACAATTTCAGGTGGCATTTATGAAGATCTGAAATATCATTTACCATTGTTAAACATACAAGGCCTCTCAAGGCGTTCAAAAACTGTGTAGCAACCTAATTACCTTGTTGTTAGTACTGTAATGACGTGACCACTGTCATGACTCCATTTATCACGTCCTTTATCCCTTCTGCTTCTACTGCTTCTGTCTTTTTCCAATGCCTCCTGCATTCAAAATTCCCTAAGACTCTGTAGGGGATGTCATGGTGTACAGCCCAGATCTCCCTTCAGGACCAAGTACCATCCCCCCACCTCCTAGGAGTGTTACCTGCGGACAATTCACACCACAAGTCTCTTCAGGAATTGCACTGTAACAAGGAAGCGACCACACCCAAGGTTATGCTCCCAGCCTGAGGGAGGCTTGTATCTGATAACTGGTCAGTGTGGTTGTTATTTGATGAGCAAGCCCTCTGCAGCACCACCCACCTTCACAGCTCCCCATGTGATTTGCTGAAGCCTCCGTTGCAAGAACATCACAATTGAGCTTCCCCTTATTCCTAATTTTGCTTACCACACTCCTCACAGATTTTTGTCCCAAGAACACACACGAATAAATACGCTGCCTACAAACTCAGATTCTCAGAGTCTGTTTCCAAGGGAATGCTATCTGCTACAGAGTCTGACTGGGTCAGTTGGGTCTTATTCCATTATCCAATACATAGTGTTCTTAAAACAGGATGAGTTTCTAACGCTAGCAGAAACTCCTGGCCTTCCTTATGTCTGTTTTCTACGTAGAGGACTTCTGCCAAGGTGCCGATTTTTGTGCCAAATGGATATGGCCGCAGTAGCAGGGTCAATTACCTAAAACATGATTTTTATGTGTTTGCTTTCATTAAAAACAAAAACTAGACTGAAGGTGCTTGGGACTCATGGACCTGCAGTAAGGTAACACATGTAAAAGACTACCAAAGGACTTGAATTTGGGGAAACTGTTCAAAAACTATTCGGTATTATTATCATTGATGCCTATTTCTACATCTTTTTTATATGCAGGCAAATAAGAAAAAAACACATATATTATATATTTAGATAGATATATGATAGAGAGAGAGAGAGAGAAAGAGAGAGAGAGATAGAGATATCCTTCCTTCCTCATTTTTGTTCTTTACCCAATGGTAGTAAAGTATATACATTGATCCATCTGGCTTTTATCACTTACAATAAATCTTAAAGATCTTTATTATTTATTATTAATTATTCAATTTATTTAAACTAAAACAAAAACAGTTCACCCATTTCTCCCACCCCACCCCCACCTCTCACAACTACCAATCTATTCTCTGTATCTATATGAGTTTTGTGTTTTGTTTGTTTTTCTGGTTTCTTACATTCCACATATAAGAGAGATCATACAGTATTTCTTTCTCTGTATGATTTATTTCATTTAGCACGATGCCCTCAAGATCCATATATGTCATTCTTTTTTGTGGCTGAATATTCCATTGTGTGTATATACCACAGTTTCTTTATCCATTTACCCATTGATGGACCCTTAGGTTGCTTCCTGTCTTGGCTATTGTAAAAAATGTTGCAGTAAACATAGGGGTGCATATATCTTTTTGAGTTAGTGTTTTCATTTTCTTCAGCTAAATACCCAGAAGTGGAACTGGAGGATCATATAGTAGTTCTATTTTTTATTTTTTTAGGAACCTCCATAACGTTTTCCATAGTGGCTGCCCCAGTTTACATTCCCACCAATAGTGCACATGGGTTCACTAACACTTGTTATTTCTTGTCACATCCTCACTAACACTTGGTATTTCTTGTCACATCCTCACTAACACTTGGTATTTTTTGTCTTTTTGATAATAGCCATTCTAACAGGTGTGAGGTGATATCTCATTGTGGTTGTGATTTGCATTTTTCTGATGATTAGTGATGGTGAGCATCTTTCATGTACCTATTGGCCATCTGTACGTCTTTTTTGGAGAAATGTCTATTCAGATCTTCTGCCCAATCTTTAATCGAATCATTTTTTTGCTATTGAGTTGTATGAGTTCTTTATATATTTTGCATATTAGCCACTTATCAGATATATGGTTTGCAAATATTTTGTCCCATTCGGTAGGTTGCCTTTTCATTTTTTGATGATTTCGTTTGCTGTGCAGAAGCTTTTGAGTTTGATATAGTCCCATTTGTTTATTTTTACTTTTTTTGCTTTTGCTTTTGGTGTCAGATTCAAAAAGTCATTGCTAAGACCTAGGTCAAGGAGTTTACTACCTATGTTTTCTTCTAAGAGCTTTATGGTTTCAGATCTTATGTTCAAGACCTCAATCTATTTTTAATTAATCCTAGCCTACTGTACTATTTTCCTACTTTTATCTCTTTGAAGATATGAAACATGTTCATTTGGGAGTCTCTCTTAATTTGCTCCAGAATATATAGTTTCTGCACTGCAGTTGTTTTGTCTATTAAGTGTATTAACTCATTCTCATGGCATTTTTTTTCTGTGTACTTAGTAATTTCTTACTGCAGGCTTAATCCTCAGAGGAAATTGTTTCCTGTGGGAATCCTGTTACTCTGAGTATTCTAAGGGTTAATTTGTTTCTTGAGAGGTCCTGTTGTTTTCATTCATTTTGCACCAGTTTTTTTATGTAAATTTCTTGGTTCAGTTTCCACATTTTGTGTTTCCTGGATAATGAAAATCAAGTTCCCTCCACCTCTCTACATAGTAACTTTAAGGATGCTAGTATCTTCTGGTTGACTTTTCACACCTGACTCAGGATGGTCCACCAGAAATCTTTCTTGATGAAATCTTTCTTGCTGAATCTTTCTCTCAAGGAATCTCTTCCAGACATCCCATTTTCTGCAAAATGTTCAGTTCCAACGTCCCATTTAGATTGGACCTGCCCCCATCATGAGATTGAAAACCTTAAACATCACCTTTTTTAACATACTATTTACTTAAAGTAGAACTCCAACTTTCTCCTCCCTCAACCCATCCAACCCCCCTCTCCTTTAGTACCCTTGTGTGTTTCTACTCCTTCCACACCAGTGTTTCTCAACCTAATGCTCTCTAGATTACCTGATTAGCTTCTTTAAAAAGGCCAAAAAGAAAAACAAAACAGATATCCATCCATGGCAATTAAACCAAAACCTTTGCGGTGGATCATTCCTGGGGCATTCTTCTTTTTTTTTTTTTTTCCTTTTTTCTTTTCCTCTTCTCCTCCTCCCCTTTTCTCATTCTTTGGTTACTCTAATCATGGAAAACCTTCCTTCTGGACCCAGAATAAGTAACATCTCTTCAGTGAAATCTTTTCCAATTTCTCCATGTATCAGTTCTCTGTCTATGCTTCCTGAGCACTTTTCCCTCTGCTTTTCCAGAACTAATGACATTTCATGTTTCTACACAAGAGAATATCCCTCTAGTTTGGAAATGTGTCTCTTGTATCCTAAACCCCATTCTGTTCCCAGCCCCTAGAGAGTATCTGGTACATCATGATGCAATAGGATAAGGGGATAAATAAATAGATGGATGGATGGACCCAAAGTTGAAGACTTATTAAATCATTAAGATTTGATAATCCTTTGTTTTCTCTAGGATTTCCAGCCAAAAAAACAATTAAGCTGTTGACTTCCTGGGATCAAACCAAACTAAAAACCAGGACTTTCCAATTAAGGATCCTGCCCATGGAGAGAGTTCTTGCTGCCAAATGAAAAGCAATATGAACATCCTATTGACCTCTGAAATCTCCACTTTCAGATCCACAAGGCTTCTTTTCCTCCTTAAACTCCTATGGTGTTTCCATTTTTTTATTCCTGAATGAGCAGTAGGCAGTACACTATGCCAACACTGCTTTCTCCCATAGGCAATGCCAGTCTCTTGTTAACAAACAAAATTAAATTGGCTTTAAAAGTAATTGCCAAAGTGCTTTGTGTGATTAATATATTCCACCAGTTTCATTACCCCAAGTCCATAACATGCAATTTCATTCTTGTGTATGTTGTTGCTTCTTGTTGGGTCATTCATTGGTACCTGCATGCATTCATTCAGCAAATACCTACTGAGTGCCTACCCCATGCATAGCACTCTGCTCTTGTTAGTCTTTCCTCTCCAGTTTAACTCTGTTTCCAAAGGAATAAATGTATTGTATTTGTAACAAAAAACAATTAGGTTAAATCATGTGAAATTGCCTCTATTCAGTCATATTTTACAAAAAAAAACACAAACACAAAAAAACAAATAACCAGCAATTTCATATGGTCCAGCTTAATACCCAGTCTTATGAATTGAATGAGGTAAGGTTACGCACATAAGAAAGTGATTAAAGGGGGTGCCTGGGTGGCTCAGTTGTTTAAGCATCTGCCTTTAGCTCAGGTCATGATCCCGGATCGAGCCCCACATTGGGATCCCTGCTCAACAGGAAGCCCGCTTCTCCCTCTCCCTTTGCCTGCCGCTCCCCCTGCTTGTGCTCTCTCTCTCTCTGTCAAATAAATAAATAAAATCTTAAAAAAAAAAAAAGAAAGTGATTAAGGGAACTGACTGTATGATTTTATCCATTAAATAGTGTGATACTTAAGGCCTCAAAGCTTTTGAAAAGGTCTGAGACTTCCCCTAAAAAAAAGACTGAGAATACAAAGGAAAAAATGCAAAACAAAAATTAATAAATGTTTAATAAACATAAACAATATGATCATGTCAACTCCATTAATTGTTATTGTTAATAAACATTTCCTGCATTTATAAATAAATTTGTTCATTTTTCTCACTTCACACAAATTCAGAATGCACATAATTACTGAAAGATCACAGCAAATTATTTATTTGCAAACAATTTGAAAGCAAAATATTTAACAACAATTTTCAAGTTCTTTTTTAAACAACAAAGGAAAATGTTATTGGACATGGAATGCATTTTAATATGTTAGGTGTGATACGGAGATGGAGCTCTAAACATAGAAGTGCCAGCCTGGTCCTTTAGGATATGAAAGTAGCCCTGGGATCTCAAAAGAATTCCTGTTCCCTGCCCCCAGAAACCTGGGTGAATCAAAAAGAATTCAGATCTGTTAAATGCATGCAAATACTGAACTCAGCTCTTAGACAATTCACTGTTGAGAGAATCTCTGCTGTAGAGCACCCGGGACTTATCATAGTAAAAACTGAAAATTCCTTGCACTCTTTTGAATTATAAATATCAAACAAGAAAAAAGCTGAGCCTCAACCAGACCCCCTATGTTCAGCTTAATGATTTGTCAAAATCCCTTCTACTGGAAATGGAGGGAACCGTGCATGTTCCCTGTTGACCGCCAGATCCTCCAACTTTCCTTCCCAAGTGACATATCTGGTAGAGCATTTCCAGCAGGGTGCACCATTGAGACACCAGAAACTGCCCAACAGGAATCAGCCCCTCGAAGAACATCTCTAAATCTAAACTGAGGAAGAATCAGGAGAAATTGGGGGAGATGAAGACCTCCAGGCTGCCAGGCCTTACCTGGCTCAGCCTGGCCTGTGGTTGTGAGAAAGCAGACTCCTGAGAAGGAAAGGGGTAGCTTGGTCCAGGCAGACGGGGCATGGTATATCCCCACACCCGCATGCTCTCTGAGGGAGGCACACCACAAACTCAAGGAAAGAAACATGTGGGGAAAACAGTCCCCTGTCTCAGGCCATACATTCTGATGATTACCCTGAACCCTAGCCATTATCAAGAGGACCCGGAGAAGCTGGATGGGCATTCATATTCTCTTGGGCTTAATGGGAAAAGAAGCTTTGGTGAATTGCTAGGGTTTTCCTTTTTAGACTCAAAACTCAAGTAGCTTATTCATTCTACTGATCACCTGATAGATAGCATCGTATACCTGGCAACTAATAAATGTTTGAGATGTGGGTTGGCATCCTTACCCTGGCTTTACACCACTGTCTCCCCAGGGCCCTCTGGCTGATAAACGCAAGGGGACGCTGCATACAACAGCCCACACGATAGCACTCTTGAGTTCATTTCCCAACAGTTATTTATGAAAATAACCCAAAGTGGTGGATAAGAAACTAGGTTCACCTTAGGTTTATTTAAAAAAAAAATAAAAGTATTCTCTCCTCAATCACACACAAGCACACTTATATAACGACTTCACAGGACAAACATCTATCTCTCTGTTCACCTCCAACTCCCCCCAACCTCTCCACCCCCACCTCATATTCATTACCACTACCATGCTAAAAGCAGTGAAATGATTCAAGATAAGGAAGTGGTGTGGCTTTTTAACAAGAGACAAGTTACTAAACCCCCAAGCCCTAAGATATGTCCAGGGGTGATAATATTCCCTTCATAGGATTTTTGTGTGTTGATTTATTGAGATAATGCATTTAATGACTTTGGCCTTTGTAGACAAACAATAAACAGTAGCTGTTACTATTGTTATTATGCAAAGCTATTGACATAAATCATTCTGAATGTGACTCTAATATTTGTGACGTTTAAAAAAGGTAAAAAGATTAAATTTAAAAACTGAAAATAATGTTTTATGGCAGAATGGCTTAGTACTTTCCTCTAAATAGTTAGTGGGTTCAGTGACATTTTTTAGAGGAGTTATTTTTTTTATTGTGACAAAGTACCATTTTAACAATTTTTTTTTTTTTTTTTGTAGAGAGGGAGCAGGGGAGGGGCAGAGGGAGAGGAAGAGAGAATCTCAAGCAGACTCCCCCCTGAGTGTGGAGCCCAACTCAGGGCTTGGTCCCACAACTCTGAGATCATGACCCGAGCCAAAATCAAGAGGTGGATGTTTAATTGTCTGATCCACCCAGGCACCTGCATCTTAACCATTTTTAAGTGTACAATTCAGTGGCATTAAGTACATTTATATTGTTGTGCAACCATCACTACTACCCATCACAGAACTTCTTCATCATACCAAACTGAAATTCTGCACCTAGTAAAAAATAACTCTCCATTCCCTACTTCCCCAGCCCTGATAACCACTATTCTACTTTTGTCTCTGAATTTGACTATTTTAGGTTCCTTATATAAATGGAATCATAGAACATTTGTCCTTTTGCATCTATTTCATTTAGTGAATATCTTCCAGCATATATCAGAATTTCCCTATATACAATATACAATGTTATTCAGCCTTAAAAAGCAATGAAATATATATATTGATGTTATATTTATATATTCAAGATATATATATATCACATTTATATATATCACATTTTGTTTGTCCATTCTCTGTTGCTGGACCCTTGAGTTGCTTCTACCTTTGGGCTGCAGTGAACATGACTGTACAAATATCTCTTTGAATCTCTGCTTTCACATCTTTGGGGTATATACCCAGAAGTGGAGTTACTGGATCATAAGTTTAAATCTATGTTTAATTTTTTGAGGAACACAATACTGTTTTCCACAATAGTTGCACCATTTACATTCCCATCAGCAATGAGCAAGGGCTCCAATTTCTCCACATCCTGGTCAACACTTGTTATTTTCTAGGTTTTTTAATAATAGCCATCCTAATGGATACAAAAGCGGTATCTCTTTGTGGTTTTGATTTACATTTCCCAAATGATGAATGATGTTGAGCATCCTTTCATGTCCTTATTGGCCTTTTATATATCTTCTTTGGAGAAATATCTATTCAAGTCCTTTGCCTATTTTTTAATCAGGTTGTTCTTTGTTGTTGAGTTATAGGAATTCTTTATATATTTTGGATATTAGTTCCTTATCATATATACAACTTACAAATATTTTCTCTGATTCTGGGGTTGTCTTTTTACTCTATTGATAGTGTCCTTTAATGCACAAAAGTTTTTAATGTTGATAAAATCTAATTTACCTATTTTTTTTCTGTTTCTCCTGGGCTTGTGGTGTCATATCCAAGAAGTCATTTGATCCAATGTCAATTTTGTCATGAAGCTTCTCCCCTGTGTGTTCTTCTAGAAGTCTTATAGTTTTATTAGCTCTTATGTTTAGGTCTTTGATCATTTTGAGTTAATTTTTTAATTTTTTATATTGTACAAGGTAAGGCTCTAGCTTCATTCTTTTGCATTATGGATATCCAATTTTCCCAGTATCATGTATAGATCTATAATAATTTTTAATCATGTGCTAGCCTATCAAAGGCTGTCAGCCTAGAAAGGATTAAAAAAGAAAAAAAAGAGGGTCAGGATGACTTGAATCATCTCACAAATTATGTTATAATAAATTTGTTTCATAGCTACATTATAGATACTCTGAAGACTTCCTATAGCATTGCTAAGTAGTAGTATTGAGTTCCAAAAGGTACTATAGAATTTAAAATAGTAACATTTGCATTCTTCTGATCAAAAGAAAAATTGTCACTAGGTTACACCCAGGTATGGCTAATTTTATATTAGGTCATAGATAATTTTATATTTAGGTAGGCTTCTTGCCTGACAAATCAGGGTATTTAAAAAAAAAAGAAAAGAATGTAAGTCTTCACCAATATGTATCTTGTACTGAAATGGAAATATTCCTATTTTAAAATTAAACAGATAACAAACTAGGAAAATGAGTCTATTCATACTTGCAATTAGTTGGCAGTGGGAAAGAATAAGAACTCAAGAAATGGCAGAGAGATCCATTTTCCCCTTTGTCATCTTCTCTGAGTCTGTAAAATCCCAAGGCACATCTGTTTATTTTCCAACCTTTCTGGCCTAACCTTACTATTGGGAAGGAAACTGAGATGGAAGGAAGGAGGGGGAAAGGAATGAAGGAAGGAGGAGGGAAGGAGGAAGGAAGGAAGGAAGGAAGAAGAAAGGGAAGGAAGGAAGAAGAAAGGGAAGGAAGGAAGGAAGGAAGGAAGGAAGGAAGGAAGGAAGGAAGGAAGGAAGGAAGGGGACAAAAGCAGAAATACATTTTTCACATATGACCTTTTCTTTTACTAAAGTACAAATTACTATTAACAAATTGTCAAGCCCAGTGACCAACCCAATGAGTATGTATTTTGATGATGTCAGTTAAATATCCTTGACTTGGAGACCTAGTGAGACAAAAAGATTACAACATAGATTCTGCCTCTGAGAAGACCATATAAGGACCGAAGAGGTGAGAAGCCATGAAAAGAGAAGAGCAAGAGCCGTGAGTAGAAAACAGCAAGATTCAAGAGACCTTGCAGAGCCTCACAAGCCCCCCCAAACCCAAGAGAGAGTAAGATAAAAATTATAGCCAAAAGAGCAAAAGAAATTAATAAGTATATTA